CCCAAACCCAGCACCGCCAGAGGCCACACGAGTAGACCCAGCACCCCCAGGCTCCGCACCCCCAGGCTCAGCACCCCCAGCCTCCGTACCCCCAGGCTCCGTACCCCCAGGCTCAGCACCCCCAGACTCAGCACCCCCAGGCTCAGCACCCCTAGCAGCACCAGAGTCAACACCTACCTCGACAGGCTCGACTGCGTCTACCTGGGACACACCTGACGGGGCAGGACCCTGAGGGGGGAGAGGGTCTACCGGGGGGGGACCTGGCGCAAGGAAGAGCGGCGGCGGGGGGAGGGGCGCAGTGCGGTAGGGGAAGAGACGGTAGTAAGGCACCGACTCGTCAAAGGTGACGTCCTGGGAGGACAGAACACGGCGCGAGGTGGGGTGGTAAAACTGCCAACCAGGCGCGTCAGGGGGGAAGCCAAGGAAGACGCAGGGAACAGCACGGGGGGACAGCTTGTCCGCAGACAAGTCGCGGACAAACGCCCGAGATCCCCAGACACGAAACGCAGACGCATCGCCAACCTTCCCGGTCCACCGCAAGGTGGGGGAGGTCTCTGGCAAGGAGACCCGGGGCTGAAGGTTGATCAAATGCGCTGCGTACTGAACTGCAAACGGCCACTGAAAATGGGGAGCAGCCGCATGGATCATGGACGTACGAGCGACGTCCATGACCATGCCAATGCGGCGCTCAGCAATCCCATTTTGCTGTGGAGAGGCCGGAAGCGTGAAGGTCTGGCGGATGCCCTGTGCACGACAGAAGGCTCCCAGAAGGGCAGAGGAAAACTCCCAGCCTCTGTCAGAGTGCAGACGCAGAACAGGAAAGTCCGAGCCGAAACTCTCTCTGAGCTGGAGACGAGCTGCGCGGATCCAGTCGATCAACACCTCAGTGACGTCACCCTTGCTGCGCAAGGGGAACACCGTGGTGTAACGCGAGTAGTCGTCAACCACCAACAGGAAGTAACGCTCGTGACCCTGGCCACGGACGCGGGCGGGGCCCCACACGTCCATGTGAAGAGTCTGCAGTGGAGCCTCTGTCGGAGGAAACTCGGAGGAGTGAGGGGCGGCGCGCTGCCGCCCCTCGACGCAGGGAACGCAGGTAGGGGCAGGCCCCGGAGGGAGGGGAGGGAGGGACCGGGGGAGACCAGAGACAAGGACACGGGAGGCCATGCCTCGGAGACGAGGCAGGGAGGGGTGACCAAGGCGGTGGTGCCAGAGGAGAGTCTGGTGGGACAGGAGACGACACGAGCAGGGAGCAGACTCAGGACCAGACCTGGACGCTGCAGCAAACACCTGACTCGACGCAGCTACCTGACCAGACTCAGCAACCGGAGGAGACTCAGTAGTCAGTGTGTACAGGCTCGACCCCGGCCGACGGGTAAACGTGACCAAGTGTCGGCCCGTCCGAGCACACGTACAGTGGGTCACCCGCTGACTCGCAGGAGTGAACTGGTCAACCCCCCCATCCTGTAGATCAGCACCACTCACCAAGTTCGTAGAGAACGAGGGGAGGTAGAGACCTGACAGGGTGCCAGAGGGGGCCGCCGGACACGGTAAGACAGTGGAGAAGTGGGCAAGGACAGGACCCCCAGAGGGGTCCGCCAAGGAGACCGCAACTGGCCGACTAAGCGGCGTAAGCGTGGTGCGGTCTCGAAAGAAGGAGCGGGAAGCACCCGAGTCAAGGGTGAAGATGTGTAAGGCCTGAGCCGACGTGGTACCTGAGAGAGTAGACGCACCAGTATCTAGGGCAGCAGACTCACCAGCACCTGGAGCAGCAGACGCACTAGCACCTAGAGCAGCAGCCTCACCAGCACCTTGAGCAGCAGTCTCAATGCCCGGGTCAGGCGGAACACACAGGTAACTGTTACCCTCATCACTAGTAGGCAATGTATACATGGCAGTGAGGATAGCATCATAGTCAAGAGTATAGATATCTACCCTCAGCCTAAGCAACTCCACCAAGTCGGGGAGCTCAGCCGCGTCCCCAAACTCCGTACGCCAGGCGTCGCTCAGACGGGCGAAGCAGCGGGACTCTGCGTGACCAAACGTCCTGCAAGGCTGGCCAGTCCGAGCACCAGTGCGAATGACGTACGGACAGCGAGCAGTACCCCGTGACCCGTCACGCTGAGCGTACCACTCACGAAGCTGCTGGGGCGAAAGGACCGCGCACGGACGACGCTGCAGCTGCACCTGGCCACGACAAGCAGTGGCCGAACTACTCACTCCAGGACGACTCCCACTACGGCCACCCCGACAACCCCAAGTAGCGTACCACTCACGAAGCTGCTGGGGCGTGAGGGACTCACGTGGACGTCGCTGGAGCTGCATCTGGCCACCGCCAGGAGCAGCAGGAGCAGTGGTAGCCGCAGTAGCAGCAGCAGTAGCAATTGCAGTAGGCGCAGCGCGGCCACCCCTACAACCCCAACTAGCGTACCACTCACGAAGCTGTTGGGGGGCGAGGGACTCACGCGGACGGCGCTGGAGCTGCATCTGGCCACGCCAGGAGCAGCAGTAGCAGTAGAAAGAGCAGTAGCAGCAAGAGCAGCAGTAACAGCAGTACGGGCAGGGCAGTGCTCACCAGTGGCGAGAAGGGCAGGCGGACGACGGCGGCAATGGCGAGGCCGCTACCACTGTAGGGCGAGAGCTCCGCGGCAGCTGCAGTGGCAGCTGCTCCAGGGGCGGCTGCTGCAGGGGCGGCTGCTCCAGGGGCGGTTGCTGCAGGGGTGGCTGCTCCTGGGGCGGCTGCTGCAGTGGCGGCTGCTCCAGGGGCGGCTGCTGCAGGGGTGGCTGCTCCAAGGGCGGCTGCTGCAGTGGCGGCTGCTCCAGGGGCGGCTGCTTCAGGGGCGGCTGCTCCAGGGGCGGCTGCTGCAGGGGCGGCTGCTCTAGGGGCGGCTGCTGCAGGGGCGGCTGCTCTAGGGGCGGCTGCTGCAGGGGTGGCTGCTCCAGGGGCGGCTGCTGCATTGGCGGCTACTCCAGGGGCGGCTGCTGCTGGGGCGGCTGCTCCAGGGGCGGCTGCTGCAGGGGTGGCTGCTCCATGGGCGGCTGCTGCAGGGGCGGCTGCTGCAGGGGCGGCTGCTGCAGCGGCGGCTGCTCCAGGGGCGGCTGCTGCAGTGGCGGCTGCTCCAGGGCGCGGGTTAGGGAAGGGCGCCGCGGCGGGCAGGGGCGACGCCACGCGGGTCCCGCAGGGGCGTCGCGACGCGCAGGAGCCGCGCCTCGCGGGTCCCGCAGGGGCGTCGCGACGAGGCGGGGGCGACGCGGCGGGGCCGCGACTGGCGAGGGGGCGGGGCCGCGACTGGCGACGGGGCGGGGCCGCGACTGGCGACGGGGCGGGGCCGCGACGGGCAGCGGGGCGGGGCCGCGAAGGGGCCGCGAAGGGAGCCGCGAAGGGGCCGCGAAGGGGCCGCGAAGGGGCCGCGAAGGGGCCGCGAAGGTGCCGCGAAGGGTCCGTGAAGGGGCCGCGAAGGGGCCGTGAAGGGGCCGCGAAGGGGCCGTGAAGGGGCCGCGAAGGGGCCGCGAAGGTGCCGCGAAGGGGCCGTGAAGGGGCCGCGAAGGGGCCGCGAAGGGAGGCCGCTAAGGGGCCACGAGGGGCCTGAAGGGGCCGCGAAGGGCCGTGAGAGGGGCCGTGAGAGGCCGTGAGAGGGGCCGCTAAGGGGCCGTAAGGGAGCGCGACGGGCCACTAAGGGCAGGGGACGCGACGGGAGGGTAGGCACACGGGGCGCGACTCGGGCAGGGGCGAAGCACGCTACGGGCAGGAAAAAAAAAATCGATATTCGGTGGGCCCTAGGAAACGTTCCCACTAGGGAACCTGCTCTATACCATGTGAAAGAACGAGGAATGTGTGCACTAGGAAACAGGTGGGTACAAGTAGGAAAACCTAAAAGTGTTGTACCCCATATTGTCTACCCCACTACAGCCTACACAGACTATAGCATATAAGTTTGACAGCACTGCTGTCAAATTGCGAAGCTCCTGATTCGTAGTGAAAGTTTCGTGCGGCACTGCCAGATGCTCACACGCCACGCCAAACAACAGTTTCTGCGTGCTGCCAGCTCAGCTGCGTGGCACTTGGCCCACCTGGTACGTGACAACAACCAGATCGGGTGAACGATCGCATCGCTTGAAACGCAAATCCAAAATTGACAAAATCGGCACACAGACGAGAAAATGGGTACGAACACCTCATCGGAAATCGGTCGTCGGAGCCGAGTTGCCTGTGTCGTCGAGGGGGGTCGTCGGAGCCGGGCCTGACGAGGCGGGCGACTGGCGCGCGTGCGGGCCCGCCAGCCTGGCCCAGGGCTGGGCCGACCGCACGACCGCCGCCCCGCAGCCCCGCTCCGAAAGTGAACAGCGACCCACGTTACCGGGTTGGGTCGGTGAACTGGCGACACCTCGCGCGTGGGAAAGTTACCCTCGCGCGAAGGCAGCCCACACGTGCCACCTGCCCGCGAGGTCCTAGTAACCCATCGCGGCCTGCCCGGCGGGCAGGCAAGGGCCATGCGAAAAATCGGGGCCCCCCTCGGGACACTCGACAGTTTCGCGACCCGTTGCGGTCACGCCACGTGTTCGCCCGTGGCTTCGCGTCGCGCGCATGCGAAATTTCGGACGATGCGAAATTAAAACCTCTCGCCTCGCATGCGCAAACCAACGTCGCGATCCTCTACGAAATCGACACGTGTCGGCTGTGGCGACGCTCCGCGCGCATGCGAGTTGTGCGTCCCCTCGCCGACCTGGGCCAATGGACGCGAAGTCGACGCTCTGCCATGGCGGAGACGGACCACCTGTGCCACTTGCGCATGCGCCCTCCGAGCCCTCCCGAGCCAGGCCCCACACCCTTGGGCGATGCCGAACGGGCCTGGGTTGGGGCACCACCTCCTTTTCAACGTCCCGTGGCTTCGCTCATCATTTTCCGCATCTCGTTTCGATCTTCACACCTTGATAGCTCTGCGCCTCCCCCTAAATCCGTGCTATCGTACCTTAGCCGTCCTCGTCTTCCCGTAGTCGATATGGAGCCGAGCCCCTACACAGATAAGTCGGCGCCGACTTCTGCTGACTTTCCCCTTCGACACCGAATGGGTCGCGGTCTGAGCTTCACCTTCGAGTGGGACGACTTCGCCGTCCTTCGCGGCCATAAGAAAGAGTTCACCAAGAGATGCTTGGGATTCGGCATCAGGTGGGACTCGAGTAGTCGCGGTTGGCGAATAGGGCAGATGCCGGCGCCGACTAACTCTAGATGGGCGCATAGGGTATATGTCATTTTTCGTCGGGGGACGGATTGTCGCAGATTGTCATCAGACTTACGTCGGCGTACGAGGCATTAGGCATGGACCCCGTCCAGGGACGTCGGTCGGCATAGCAAGCGTCGACCTGGCAGCTTTAGCGTTTGCTTACCCGCCATGTTATCACCCCTCATGCCCACTCGTGCGCTCAGGTACGCTTGGTATCGCATTGGGCTGAACGACCAGCGGTTGTGGGTAATCGGAGTCGGCCCGCTTCGATCGGCCATGAAGGCCGCCGACCATTCTTGCTTTGCTACGGTTTTCGACGCCGACATCGCCGCCATCCCGTTAAGAACGATGTGAGCTGTTTCCCCGTTGTCCAGTTATCGTTGTGTTTAGTCTGTCGCCTCATCGCCTAATGTTGTGGTCGACGCCGTCGTGTATTGCATGTGCAGCGGCGGTCCACTTCCAGGGTCACACTGCAGCGTCATAGCCATCCTCTACCCAGGAGATCTGCTGAAGGCTGACGGAGAGGATAGCAGGACCTCGATCCGGCACATCGACCCGCATACCGGAAAACTGAAGCACCGCGACGAGGCCATCCGCGTGCTGAAGTAAGTCGTGAATAGTCTTCGATGTCCCGCTTGTTAGTCGATGACACAGGGTATCACATGCTGACCACCTCCTTTTACCACGATGCTCCAGGCTATTCCGCACAGCTGTCCTGGCCGAGCTGGGGCGTCCCGGTAGGAAGTGGGACGGGGCGCCGCCATCAAAAGCAGTGGTGGAGGACAGGCTTGCCGACTGCGACCACCCTATCCGCGACGTGAGTTGCACGTTTATCCATTAAGGGGGGTGCACGTTTCTGTATGCTCCGCTCATAATGTTCCGCGATTGCCGGTGTTGTATGCAGAAAGTGCCAGACACAGTGTCGGACGAGAAGGTCGGCACCGGCATGCTTGCCGCGACGTCGTTCGGGAGGGTGGGTGCGGACGTCGTTCGGCATGCTTGACCTCCTCACGGGTGAGAAGCGTCGTAGTGGGGTGAGCATCGAGAACATCAAGACAAAGGGGCTGCGGACGTTGCAAGAGAGCATGGTGGAGTACATCTGCAAGCGTATCGCCGAAAACCGCTCTACGGCGCCGACTTCACAAGCCGTCAAACCCGCCGACAGTGTGATTGATGACGACGGCGCGGAAAGACAGACGGCGCCCCAAGTAGCAGTTGCCGCCCAGCATCAGGGGAACGCGAGGGTGTCCGCGGAAGGAGTACACGGTGGAGGAGGAGGCGACGCTGCGGCAGGTGCAGGAAGGAAGGAAGAGGAGTCGGAGTCGGATTCGGATTCGGAGTCGGAGTCGGAGTCTGAGGAGGAGGCGGAGGAGGAGGACGAGGCGGTGACGCGGAAGGACGAGAAGGACGACGAGGAGGAGGAGGAGAAGGACGAGAAGGATGACGGGGATGAGGAGGAGGAAGGGAAGGATGGGGAGGGGGAAGGGAAGGATGGGGAGGGGAAAGGGAATGATGAAGAGGGGGTGGAGGACGAGGTGGAGTACGAGGTGGAGTACGTAGAGGTGGGAGCTGCGGTAGAGGTGGTGGGGTCGGCTGACGAAAAGAACGAGGAAGCGGAGGATGGCGATGCGGGTAATGCTACGAGGTTGGCAGATGGGGGGAAGGAGAAGGATGAGGTCGACGTGGAGGCATCGACGGAAAAGGGCCAGGAGGAGGCGGCATGCGAAGGTGGGAAGGTGTTGGCCGACGCCGGCGAAGGGGCGAACATCACGGGCGTGCAGGAGACCGGGGAAGCATATGGTCGGCAGGGCCCTGAACTGGACGACGTTGAGGAGCTGCGACGGGAGAACTGGTTGTTTAGGGCGGAGAACGCTCGGCTGGCGACGTTGCTCAATGCGGAGCAGGCTCGGCTGGACAGGTTTTTTGTTGGGTTTAGTGGACTCGTCGACCACGTGAAAGGGTTGGCCGAGCAGGTCGACGGCACCGAGAAGTATGCGGCGGAACAGCTGCGAAACGCGACGGCGGCCATGTCGGAGACCATCACGGGCAACATCACCGGCAGCTTCGACGAAGCGTGGAAGGCGACGAAGACCTTCGCGGAACAGGCGTCGGCGTGGTTGGAGGACTTCGACAACCCGGAAGGTCGTGTGGCATATGCACGCGCGAGAGCGATCGACGCCATGGCCGATCACGTGACTGGGGAGGTGGGCGAAGCGAAGCGGGGTTTGGAGCTGTACATCACGACGCAACTATCCGCCGCGCAGGTCAACATCGCCACCGCTGTGACCTCCAGGCTCGCCGTGCAGCCGCCGCCACCGCCTCATCCCACGCCGCCCGCCCTCCCGGAAGAGCTCTTGAAGTCGTTCAAGGCCGACATCTTGAAGGCGGTGACGGAGGCCACCCAACAGTCTTTCGTTGCTTCCGGGATGAAGATGATGACCGAGATGATCGGCACTCTGGCGCCTGGTCGACGTGGGTCGTCGCCGTCGGCCAATGACGCCGATCACGCGCAACGGAAGACGGCCGACAAGCAGGGCCCGAAGAGGACGGGCGACGGAGACGACAAGGAAAGCGCGAAGCGGAGCAAGGGATCGGACGGGAGCCGCGGCTCGAAGCCTGCGGCACAGAGCGTGGTCGACCAGCTGAAGACGAAGGCGGGGTGGAAGGTGATAAGGACGTCGAACAGCAAGGGAGGCGGAAGCGGGGGGGCAGAGGGTGGCCCTACCGACGGGGTTGCCGCTAACGTCGCCGCTCCGCCTGGCCCGCCTTTGGTCGCCGAGCAGACCCATCCTCAGGCGAGCGGTGGGAAAGGCGTGACTGACAAGGAGGTCCCAACTGCGCAGGCGGCGAAAGATGGCGGCGCCGGAACCACCAAGGGACCGTCTGTCGCGATATATATTTTATATATATTCATAACTGCCTGTAGCTTTAGCTTTAGTGTAGTTATGTGTCCTTGCTGTTGGTGGTGCACCTCTTGTTTGTGTCTCTCGACTATATCTTGTATGCTTTGTTTTTAGTGAAGCTAACTTGTTTGGTCAATTTCTCTCGACACCATTGGCCTTGACCTCCACCCTTGCTTGGCCTAGGCTACTAAGCCTAGGCCCTCCTTAAACCCGTTCCTAAGCTAAGATTGTATTTTGACATGGTATCAGAGCTAGGTCCGATTAGGACCGTTTTCAAATGGGCCCACCATTAGCGCTCGCAATGGCGCGCCCCTTAGTGCGCCTCGTGAGCGCTTTCCCGTTTTCAGCTCGTCGCCCGCGCACTACCAGCAACGCACGCCACCGCGCACGCCAGGAACGCACCAGGAACGCCAGGATCGGACCCGCCAGCAAGCACGCCGACGGACCCACCAGCAAACCCGCCGACGGACCCGCCGTCGGACCCGCCAACGAGAGCGCTAGCAAGCCCACCGACAGACCCGCCAGCGCGCGTGTGAGCATGCCCGTCGACGAACCCGCCAACGGGCTCGCGAGCGAGCCCGCCAATGGACCCGCCGCCGTCACGCTGCCTCGTCGCGGCTCCGTGGCGCAGAAACAGCGACGGGCGCAGTGGGGGCGAAGAGGAAAGGGGGAACGGAGTGGCGGCCGCCAGCGCCAGCATCCGCCAGTCACACCTCTTCCCCGCCCGCCCTCCCGTCGACTTCGCAGCTGCTGTGAAGGGAGTGGCGGGAGAAGTTGCTTCTACACCGCTAGAAGCGCCAGATCGCTCCCTACCCGCCCCTTGAACCCCATCCAACCCCGTGGCACCACCAGTGGACCCCACTACCCCGCCCGTTCCAGTCCCCCGTCCCCCCCAGCGCACCACACCTGCCATCGGACCCGCCAGCGGCCAGCACCAGCACCGACGCCAGTCACCAGCGACGTCAGGCCAGCACCAGGCACCAGCACCAGCGCCGTCACGCCAGCAGCAGGCCCCAGCACCAGCGCCGTCACGCCAGCACCAGGCCCCAGCACCCGCGCCAGCCGCCAGCACTACCGCCAGCGCCGCCACCAGCGCCATCCGCCAGCACCACCGCCAGCCCTGCCCTTCCCCGTTGCCTTCCCGTCCGCGACTTCGGCTGTGAAGGGGGGGTTGGCGTGGAAGGGGTGGCCGCCGTGAACCAATACAGCCCCACCCTCGTCCCCGCCTCCTCCCCCCCACAGCAGCTGCTGCGGGAGGGGAGAGGCAGGGCAGAGGGTGGGGGAGAGGGGACTGGCTGCCGTGTGACGGTCTGTGCAGGGACTACTGTGGGTGGGCAGGGGTCTGGAGGGAGAAAGGGGGGAAGGAGTGCGGTTCCAGGGGGCGGCTGAAATGGGGGGTGAGGTTAAAGGGGGGTGGTTGTTTGGGGTGGGGATGTGGGGGTTAGTAAGAGGGGACGCCGCAGCCACCCCCCCACCTCCTCTCCTCATCCCCCACTCAACCCCCCCCTTCGTAAAAGGGGGTTAGTAAGAGGGGACGCCGCGGCCACCCCCCCACCTCCTCTCCTCATCCCACACTCACCTCCTCCTCCGTTCTTATCTCCTCTCCTCTCCTCTCTCTCTCTCGCCTCCTCCTCCTCACTTACCCCTCTGCCGTCTTCTGTTGCGCGTGCTATTCCCCTTCAGGGGGTGTGACTCACTCTAGCTATGTGCTGCAGACAGTTAAGGGGGTGTGTCGCGATATATATTTTATATATATTCATAACTGCCTGTAGCTTTAGCTTTAGTGTAGTTATGTGTCCTTGCTGTTGGTGGTGCACCTCTTGTTTGTGTCTCTCGACTATATCTTGTATGCTTTGTTTTTAGTGAAGCTAACTTGTTTGGTCAATTTCTCTCGACACCATTGGCCTTGACCTCCACCCTTGCTTGGCCTAGGCTACTAAGCCTAGGCCCTCCTTAAACCCGTTCCTAAGCTAAGATTGTATTTTGACACCGTCCGTCGCGGTGGCGGCCAAGGGCAACGCGAAGGCTGCTTCTGCCTCGGTCGCCGGCACCACCAAGTCGAATCCCCGTAACCACCCTGCGGCTACCAGCGCGCCTGTCGACCAGTCAGGTGCGAACAAAGATGGGGAGGCCCGTGCGGCCCCTCCTGCTCCGGCAGCCCCGTCTACCACCCAGGGCGACGCGAAGGCTGCTTCGGCTAAGGGCGATGCTCCGGCATCAGCTCAGGGGCCCCCCGGTGGTAACGCGCTAAGGGCAATGCTCCGCCGCATGGAGGCACATAGCAGGGACGTGCAGCAGCATCCCGTGGTCGACGCCGGCCTTGCCGGAACAGCACGTCGCTCAGTCATTCCGCAGGTTGCCGGCACATCGTCCGGTGCCCCGCCTGCCGCGCCTCCGGTCGCCGCCCCACCCCCTGCGGACCCCAAATCCGCGTTTCTTTGCGCCCATTTAGGCGCACGCAAAGCGGTGACTCAGCCGGAGCCCGGCAACAACGCGACGCCGACGTCGGTAAACGCGACCGCACCCTTACCAGGTGCAGCCGTTGTCGATGCGGCCGCAGAGAAGGGAGTGAGTGCAGTGCTAGCCACCGGCGGCCGCGCCGACAAGCATGCCGAACTCGCTGCCGTCTTGGCCCATTTTGAAGCAGCAAAACGCCCCGAGCACGCCCCTGCTCTGGCCATCATGGACTCGGCGCATGTGGTGCCGTCGGCGACCCACGGAGAGGGTTCGGCGGAGCCGACGGCTGCAACGAGTGCTGTCGCCGAGAGAAATGCTGGACGGAAGGGGAAGGACGGTCTCTCAGAGGAGCACGCGGTCTGCGGGGAAGGAGATGTCGGAAGAGAAAGGGAATCAGGACAAGACGGGCGGCAAGGGTAAGCCGGCGAAGAAGAAGGAGAAGGCGGAGGAGGAGGACGAGGAGGGCGGCGAAGGAGATAAAAAGCATGGACGCAGGGGTCATGACATCCGCCAAGACAGGTCCGGCGACGGGCATGGGTGGGTGGGCGAGATTAAGGTAAACGGACAGAATCGATACATCGGCAAGTCGAGGGAGAAGATGGAGCTGGCCTACGAGCACGCGATTGCGCTCGTCGTCTACGACGGCTACGTGAGCAAGGTGCTCATGAAGGAGCTCACTGTCTTGAAGCCGGGGGAGTTGGATAAATGGAAGGAGGTGTGGGCGGAGGTCAAGTTCTTGCCGACTGGGATGTGGACGGTGATGTGGGCCAGAGGCTTGTGCCATCCGAGAGCAAGGTAAGACGGATACCGACGTGCCGAGTTCTGTCGACCAAGTCGGTGTCATTACGCTGATGTTGACGAAGTCGTGTCGTTTTAATGTGTTTGCGCGGCAGGTTCGACGATATACTCGGCAGGTACCGTGGGTACGCGAGTTCGGGTGATGCGCTTCATGACGTGCTCTGGCCGGCGATCTGGTTCCCCATCATCGAAAACACGGAGGAAGGCAAGGAAGAGACGGACGCTCTCATGTCGGCGATGGTAAATCGCGTGTCGATGTGCGCGGCGTATGGGAAGGTCGCGGCGAGCGCGGCGTTTGGGAAGGTCGATGCGAGCGTGGAGGGGAAGGCGGGAGAGAAGACGGAGATGGAAGGCGTGGAGGGGAAGGCGGACGAGAAAACGGAGATGGGGGCCCAGGCGTTAGCGGCATCGGCATGCGCCCTCTGGTGCTTCGTGGAGACGGGGGCGTCGGTGCTCGGTGCTGTGGGCGAAGGGAAGGCGGCGGCGATGGTGGCAGGTGCGGGGGAGGAGAGGGCCGAGGACTTCAAGAAGGTGATGCTCGCGGTGATCGACTTAGCACGCAGTAGGTAGGCTCCCGCGGGGGAGGTTGCACATAACGTCGCGCCACCGCTGCAGAGCCAGGCAGTGGCCAGGGCCTTCGAGGAGGGAGTTGAGGAAGTCGATGCCGACATGATTGCTAGAGCGACTGTCGAGACCTTGGCGTTCTGGGGAATGTGCCCCGTCGCCGGGCCCAAGCTCAAAGAGCAGGGCATCGATGTGCCGTGTGATGCAAAGATGGAGTACGATATGGAGCACAGGGGGAGGAAGGGGGAGAAGGTCAAGCAGGCCAAGGGCAGCAAGAGGAAAAGGGGGCAGACGGGCAAGCAGGGCAACGACAGTACGGATGCGTAGTCGGCGGGCTGTGGTGCTATGGTATGGCCAGCGCCGATGTCGTTGTACTTCTAATGACTTTTCTATCGTAGGGCACGAGTCTTTTTTGTTTCTGTTTGCTTCACTTTGGGATGATAAAAATCACTTTCCACATAGAAACATGCTAGCCGCCTTCTAACGAGGAGCCCTGTCGGCGCATATCTCGACATCAAAGAAACATGCTACTTGGCGAGGAGCGAACAAAAAAAGGTAGACACATGATACTCGGCGACGAGCACTGTCGGCGTCTATGTCGACAGCATAGCAACATGCTACTCAGCGATGAAGGATGAGTCCTGCGAGACTTCGACATCGCCCCGAGGATAGTATTTTGATTCTTACTGAGCGACCGACAACAATTAACACAGCGGGATCAAGTAGGTTCGCAAGGGCCTTGCAGTGGGTTGTTACAAACTACTGGAACATCATTTGAAAAAAGGAGGGGGGGGGGGGGGGTATAAATGTCTGCCACAATTAACAGCATCAAACAACGCACACGCATATCCTACAAGCGCGCTCATGCCGACTTCTTGCACTTGGTCGGAGGACGGTGCACCGGTGCGGTCGGCTTGGCCGGTGCGGTCGACTTGGCAGGTGCGGTCGGCTTCGCCAGGTCGGCCTTGGTCTTCGGCATCTGCTCCACCCAGGTGTCTGGAAACAGGGTTTCGACCCAAACCGTCGGCTTCAGGTTGAGCGCCACAAGCGCACAGGCGAGGCGTAGCTTCGAGACCACCTTGGGGCCCAGCCCCTTGACTCCCATGCCAGGCTCCTTGGACAACATCGGTGCCGTTCCCGGTTTGAGCACCGTGAGGGCATCGGCGAAGGTCCCGATGCCCGGTGCCGCGATGATGTGTAGTGCATCGACCACGGCCTCGGTGTCGGCGTCGCCGTCGCTCGCGCGTAGCTGGCGCACCGCATCCATGACCTTCAGCATGCGGCGCACCCTCATGTTGAGTGCACCCTGCGTCGCGCCTGACAGGAGGGTGTGGCGGTCGACGAAGCCCGGCTCGCCGAACCTGTCGCAAAGCCGACGGGTGTCATTGGCGGTGGCGGAGTTCCAGAGGCGCCAGGCGTCCCTCACCGTCTTGGCCTCCCGCCACGGTTGTACCACGTTGAGCTCGTAACTAGCCTCCTCGTCCGTCTCTGGGGGTGGCGGGGGTTTGTCGTCCCCTCTGTCGGCTCCCGCTCCTGTGTTGGCCGAATCCGCCGAGCCACCCTCGCTTGGAGCTTGCGCGGTAGCCAACGGCGGGGCCTCCGGCACTCTCCGTGCTTCTGACACACGGAGTGCCTCGGTGAGACGGGTTATCTCGGCGGTGAGCGACGCGATGGTGTCGTCGCGCTTCTCGAGCTCCTCCAGGAATTCAATCTTCTCGTTCGCGGCGCGCTCCATCTCCTTCGTCAGCTTCGCCTTGAGGGACATGTTGTAGTACTCTGTGTCAAAGCGGACAGAGATTTCCTGCAGCGGTACGACAAAGACGTTAGCTGCGAGGTGGTTTGGAGTACCCTGCATCCAGGTCGTCGTCGACTTACCTCTGCCTGAATTCGGGTCGGGTCCCGACGCTTTTTGATCGTCTCGGTGTCGACCCTCTCGACCCGTTTCGCCCAGTGCTGGAAGAGGGGGATCCGGCAGAGCATGGAGCCTTGGACGTACAGGTGCCATGGTGTGCGGACCAGCTTCACCGCTAGGTCCTCGGCGACGATGCGGCGCAGCATCTGGAGTGTGCGCCAGAAGTGCACCGTGGCTTTGTCGGCGTCGGACCCATTGGCAGCCTTCCCTTCCGCCTCCAATTCGCCATGTGTATTAGGAGTTCAGACACGGTCGGCAACACGACTCGAAGACAAGGCTACGAGGGCGTCGACTAACATACCGTCCTCAGCATGTCGTCGACGCCGGGGAAGATGTGCTCGGCGAGGAGCTTCAGGAGCTTCTCGGAGGGCTCCACCCTGCTCCGACCCAAGAAGTAGTCCTGCTTGTAACCAGAGTAACCGGCCTTCTTCATCACCACCCCCACCGGAATGGCGGTGATGTACGCTCGCGTCATCTTGTCGAGCGCCCAGTGACCCAGCTCCGCGATCTCGGCGCGCGGCGTGCCGTCCATGGCCAGCTCCTGGGCCCCTCCCGCTCGAGCGGCGTGCACGTTCCTCTTGCAGAACACCCCGTTCTTGTCCCACAACTGACGCGTCCAGCGTTGGTGGCTTGCCGCGGAGAGCTCCCCTTGGTCGGTGTCGTTTTTGGCGAAGAAGAGGTGCTTCTTGTACCAGCTCGCGCGTGTGCTGGTGTCCACCGGCGGAATGAGGCGGACGCCGTGAAACTGGCCAATCTGGTCGAGGATGAAGTGCAACCATAGGCCCGTCTCGCCGACGGCGCACAACTCCGCTTCGAGGTGCCGCGCGGCGTAGCTCTGCTGCAGACGCGCATCCTTGGACGTCTTTGAGTTCCGCGCAGCAATGACCATGACGACCGGCTGGTTCTCCGGGTTCACCGACGAGGTGCTCGCCAGTCGGTACAAGAATATGTCGGGGAGCGTGATCTCGCGGATGCTTTGACCCCGCAGGAGAGAGTGGTGGGAGAGTAGCGTGAGCACCTTCAAGAGCAGAAACCTCCACAGCGTCTGCGAAGGGCCCGTACCCCGCGGGTTCCACGCCTTGGCCGCCCACGTCGGCAGCACCCTGATCATGATCTAGCGGAACTGTTCGGCGGTGTAGGTATCGCCAATGGTTCCGCGACGCCGATCGGCACAGTTCCTGCCAATAATGCCAAGGGTAAGGGGAATTTAGGGCAGCGTCGACATAGTACATGACAACAACAGAGTGGTCGACAGAGGTTAAACACAAACTCACTTGATGTCCCGCTCGTTCTTGGTGCGTATCATGAACCGCACCTCCGACCTGACCACCGATATCTCACGCATGATGCTCAGCTCCGTCTCCCGGTATAGCGTCGCCTCTACTCTCGCCGCCATCTGGCATGCCTTTATGCACCCGAGGAGCGTGTGCACCGTTGTAGATTGCACAGGCTGTGTTCCTGTGGTGTTGTCGCCCTCCTTGTTGGACTCGGCATCGAGCTTCATCTCCCGAACCATGTACTTCACGTATGCGCGAAGCCGGGTCTTGGTGACCCTAGGGCCGTGCAGCCACACGTACGCCCGGGGGACATCGGCCTCTTGGTCCCAGTTTTTCTTCTTGTTGTCCCGGATGTAGTGCCCTATCTCGTCGACGTGCTTAAGCCTGTGCTCCTGCGGAAGCTTGCTACGAATTTGCCTCAACATCTTCGCCGCCCACCTCTTGTAGTGATAGATCCACGAGGTGTACAGCCTCAGCGTGCTGTTCCTCTCCACGGTTTGCAGGTGGCGTAGGGCGTCCAAGACGAGCACGTCGATGGACGCGTAAACCAGATCTTCCTCGACGAAGTCTGCCGCCCTCCACTGTTCGCGCGGTACCGACAAGTTCTCCTGGTCCGCATCCTCGTCCTGTTCGAGCAGATTATCTATGTATTCAAGTTCCCGCCTGAGTCGTTCTTCCAAGGTGCGCTGATTAGTGCTACGCGGTGGACGCTCGTCGTTTTCGTCATCGCTTTCCTCCTCCTCCTCCTCCCCATCCTCCTCCTCCTCGACCTCAACCTGGTTTCCAGAGCCGGCCGGTGCCGACGAAGTTCCTGGCTGTCCAGTTCGCGTCGGATTCTGTTTTTTCTTCTTGTTAAACTCCCCGATCGGCAGTGGGGGAATATCCTTGGTGAACTCCCCTTCTGGAATCTGCGTCAGCTTGTCAAGATCGTAGAGTAACGAGAGCGTCTCTTCCTCGGTAGATGTCGGACTGTGGTCGGTCGATGGACTAGCGTCGGACATATCGACGTCGGCCATGTGGCAGCACGTATGTTGCTCTACCGTCGTCTGTGTGCGATGTGGAGGTTGGTAAACCAGAGACGGTACTGAGTCACGGGTGCGGTGTACGACCGAAGAGTCGCGCGGCGGTCGTCTTCTAGATATCGCTCAATAACGTCTAACTCGTGCTCGACGTCGAGATTGCGGGGCTTGGTAAACCAAAGACGGTACTGGGTCACGGGTGCGGTGAACGCCCGAAGAGTTGCGCGGCGGTCTTCTTCGAATTCTCGATCAAGTGCGATTAACTCGGCTTCGACCTCGAGCCGTTCCAGCTGCGCTTTGATGTCGGCGTCTACAGAGTCAGCGGGGGGTGGAATGGGTTGCGGCTGTTGGGCTCTAGGGCGACCTCTGGCCATGCGTCGCCGACTTGCTACGTAGGCGGGGTCGTTAGGAGCTTGCACCGATGTTTATCTAAAACAGCAGACGTCGACGCTGATGACTACTGACCAAGTCGGCAACCGAGTAACCTACAGGCGCGATGACAGACTGGCACCTGAAAATTCTAAGTGCACGAGAGAGCAGGAAGAAATGCAGGAACGGACGTGGGAATGAGCAGGCCCACAAGGTCACGGACGGGTATGGTCCTGAGCAACTCCGATGCTGCCGCGCTTCATGCACACCCCTATGCTGCTGCCGCCATGCATGTGTTCTCGTAAAGGCGGCGCACTGTCCGACGTGCCACGTGCCAAGCATGGCTAATGTGACGCAGCGCTGCAACGAAGGGGCGTAAGCCTGGGTCTTTCCACGGTGGAATGGGCGTGTGTAACGTGGCTTGGGACCGACATTGGCCCCTCAGTTCCGAAATTACGGCATGCCGACTCCAATCTCCCAGGGTCCCGGAATTATTGAAGCCCAGCGTGGGGCGCCCTAAGATCGGCGCCGACTTCCATTCGGCGCGCTTGATTGTTTCCTTAGGTTCATTGTACCTAGACAGTGTTGAGATTGTGCCGCGTGGCTTGGTTGTGGGCCTTTGGATGAAATGGTCGACACCGACATCGCTTGCAACTCGCGATGCCACAGAACAGTTACACCATGGACGGTCCGATTTGCGCCACGTGGCAGCCTAGTACACGGTGGGGACGGTCTGGCTCCTCCCTATTG